AATGAATGGAGAACCATGATCGTCGATGTCTGTCGCTGATCTGGCTCTGGGTGAATGAAAGTAATCTAATGCGGGGGACTCTTAACTCAAATATCCAATACCCAGCTCCCCCACCCACCCACCCACCCACCCAACCTCAGGTGGTATGATTAGATATCGTTGTAACACGTTTAAACAAAGATGTTATTCATTGATACTAATCAGATGCTGATTTCATTGCGCTCAAATGACTTTATGTAGTTGTGAGCGCCCTAAAACCTTACTAAAACTACATAAAATATAAGAAATGGAGCCATTAGATATCTACATCTAGACAGTAGTAACGGAATTTGACTAATGAGAAGAATGGGCTCTAAAACATAAGATCAGTCTGACTGAAGTCAAGTTTACGTGTGCAAGAAAACAAGATACGTGTAGATACCTAACCTTTAGATCTTGACCTACCAAGATATAATAGTCTTTCTTAGCATTTAATTTGCACACAAAATGGAAAGCAACCTACCCCATTTATCAAAAGAGCATTCTGACTTTTGATCAGAAGACAAAGAGCATTATTTTTTTAACCAGTTTTACTTCACTTTTATCCGCTGCTTATACCCTTTTGGGTAACCAGCTAACGACTTAATATAGCTTCCAGTGTTGCTAAGGAAAACTACATTGTAACTATTTATCGGGTGGGCGGGGGGGATACCCTTCCCCACCCAGCTGCCCAATCCTTCCCCCTCTCCTTTCTCTCCCAAATTGAATAGCAGTAATTGCAATCCAGCTCAGTGGCATAATTACATCTTTTACCGGGTGTGCATTCATGAATACCTAAGTACATGTGCAGGCTTCCAGTAAATTACTAGAAAGAAAATAAGAAAATGTAGGTGTTTTTGCGCTCCTATCAGCACAACTTAGATCATTTAGGAGGCGGGCTTCAACCCAGCTTGTCAGGGTCAGCCCAGGCTGAGAGGAGGAAGAGGGGGTTGGGGGGGGATAATTTTAGCATGCAGTTGTGTGTTTTTTTACATAGCGTTTCTTGTCCTTCATCTTCTTTCGAATATCCAATTCTTGCAAATCTGTGGGTATTGCCCACTAGTGGGCCATTTGTTACTTTTGGTGAGCAGTGGGGATATCACCAGGGGAGTGACAGACGTTATTTAATGCCCCGCTGGGAAATATACGTATTTAGGTGGGAGGTCCGATGATAACGTTAGCCTCTTAAAGGTTATAAAAGTGAGTGCTGACTATAACAACAAGGTTGAGAATGAGAAACAGTGGTAGGATCGATGACTCTACCCTCTACGACATAGCAACAGGAGGTGCAGCGGCATCGAAACGAAATAATTTATTTCCTACGATTATTTATCTATTCTTCTGTTAAGATGATATGATAATTTGTATTTGTTTTGCATGGCATCTTTACCCCCCCCCTACCCACACACTTCCCCACCCTAAAAAGGAAACAGAAACACCCTTGACCGTTGCCATGGGTGGTTGGCGGGTGCTCTGGTGTGGTTTGCTTCTTCTTACCTGTCAAACATCTATCGTCTTTATCTCCACTCCTTCTTTTTTGTGTTTGTTGCTCTCTTGTACCACCTCTGATCTTCGGCACTTATATGAACTTATTGTGTTGCAAGTGCCGTAAAACACTTACTAAAACTAAACTGACTGTTGTCTGTGGTGTAAGTGTTCAGCGTTTCGTTCGCCATGGCACGCAGAAGTTGGTTCGTGCTCACAGACGGTGTCGAAGCCCACCTCTCAAGTAACCTAAATTGTTTCGACAGGGGTGTAAAATACCTACATTTTATAAAAAGCCGAAGATTAGATAACATGATGTCGAAATTGCTTTGAAATCCCAACTTATTTTGTGTTTTCTACTTAAGTCTTTCTTCTTCTTCTTCCTCCTCCTCCTCCTCCTCCTCCTCCTCCTCCTCCTCCTCCGCCTCCTCCTCCTCCTCCTCCTCCTCCTCCTCCTCCTACTCTTCTTTCCTTTTCTTCTCCTTCCCCCCACTCCTCTTTCGTTTGCTCCTCCTCCTCTTTCCCCTCCTCCTCCTCCTCTTTCCCCTCCTCCTCCGCCTCTTTCCCCTCCTTGTCCTCCTCCTCCTTGAAATTTGTATCCTGCAGTTCCAAAGTCACCCTCCACCCCCCACCTCCTATGAGCTTATCTAATCTGCCCCTTTCATCTTTTCGCCCACAGTCAACCAAGAGCAGAAAACTCTTGCGGTTTAGCCCGAAGCTGCGGAAGCGGAAATCGGAGAAGGGCGTCCATGGTGTAGCCATGGCAACGAGTAACGACGGCCATGTTCCCAATGGCCTCAACGACAGGGAACGCCTAGGTAAGTACCCGCTAAACGGCCGCTGATTGCGCGTTTGAATTTTTAAAAACTCTCATTAGCTAGCTAATTTGACTGGTTTAGATTGCGTGTTGAACGTATAATTGTATCGGAAATGTGGCGGTGACACTGTCTCAATGTCTTGATTATCGTAATATTTGAGAGAGAAAAAAAAAAAGTTTCCCAATCCACGCTTGTTTATAAAGTTCACTCGCTTGATATTGTCATTATGTTTTGTTTGGTCTTTTTTGTCTTTGTTTTCTTCTTTTATTTGTTTTTTTTTTGGTCAGTTTGTTTGGAGTTTTTTGTTTGTTGGTTGGTTGGTTGGTTGGTTGTTGGGGGGATTGTTTGTTTTAGTTTCTTGCTTTATGGGGGGGGGGGGGTTG